TAGGGTTTAGGGTTTAGGGAGTGAAAGCAAGAGACAGCGAGGGACAGCGAGAAAGAATGGCAGAGACCCGGAGAACGGAGTGCCTTGCGACTTAACTTAACAGCCATAAATTGTCCTGGGGCAAGAAAGTGCCTCACCTGCTCAAGAAGCACTTCTTTCCAATAAGCCCTTGCCCGCGCTAGCTGCCAGTCAGAGTGTGGATCGGTTATCAAGGGCGCCTGTTCTCGACTGGCCTGTGGCATCCCTTTTTTCACAAATTTGGACATGTGTGCCTCGGGGTGCGTGAGGTTGGGCTTATGCTGGCCTCTCTCCCCGCAGCCGTAGCAAGACAGTGACAGACAGACAGAGACCCACACATAGACAGACGAACACGGAGAGATAGACGAGAGAGGCAGGGACAGACGAGAGAGGCAGGGACGGGCAGACAAAAGAAAAGGCAGAAGTTGCTACGATGTTTTCCCACGATCTGTCTCAGACAGACGCAGGGCTGGCGACGCCAAACGCAAGCGATGCAAATGAGGCAATGAGCAAGACCAGAATCGACCACAAACCGCCCGCCGATGTTTCTTGAGTATCGTCAAAGGTATTCTGGTGGCTGATTCGGGGCTTGCTATTTCAACTTCTTCTCTGAAGTATGTGGTGGTTGTTGTTGTTGTGGCTTTTGTGTGCTGTCAGTTTCCGTTTTTGGGCATATCAGTCGTGCATGTGTGGTTTTCTTGCTCTGTGGCTCTTCGTGTTATTGCCTACGTAGGTTTTCGGGCCTTACCATCCGAGTTGAAATGTTTCTTAGGTGCATATGTGATGAGCACTCTCCGAAAACATGAAGTACTGGAGCAGACATCGGAGTCACCGATAGTAAGATGTCTGGGAATGGCCGAGGTGTGCCCGATGGAGGCGCTCTTTGCAACTCTTTGTTTGGCTTCTTTCGATGTCAGCTGGAACTGGCTGAGAGGATGCGGGATGTCCTTCCAAGCTGCAATGCCTGGAGTCCGCTGCTGAGGATGTGTCCTTTCTAAGTGCAGCTTGCGACCAGCTCTATGCAAGGTTCAGGGCATGCCGGGCCTTGCCACAGGTCGCTTTTCTGAAGTGTCGGATCTCTCAGAGCGAACGTTTCTCTGCAGGAATGCCCTCGGAGCTGCAGCAGCAGATGGTGATGATGCAACAACTGCAACATCAGCAGCAGTTGTTGCAGCAGCAGCTGCAGCAACAGCAGCAACAGCAGCAGCAACAGCAGGCCCCGGCACCGCCTGCATCCTAGCCGGAACTCTACAATTTTGGTTGGAAGTTGCCTTTACGAAGACCTGTGACCCGCGTCGAAGTCCTTTATCCCAGGATGCCTGGTGCAGACAAAGACCAGCAGGCTTGCAGCTTCAGTGCTTTCGGCACCTGCGCGCCTAATGGAAACCCTAAACCCTGAACCCTAAACTCCAAAGCCCGGTGAGGCCTTCACTTTGGTGGTTGACTCTCTGAGTTCTGCAGAGAAGGGGTCGGGTGCCCAGGTGAGCAAAAAAGCTCAGGCAGCTTCCTTGTGGCTTCCTTCGAGGTATTACACCACTCTCTGGGGCATTGCCTGTCCAAACGGTGAGACGCTTGCTGGAAAGGACCGCCCATCCCTGAAGCTCAGCAGCTGCGCAAGACTGTATCAAGCGTTTGTCTGTGACATTGTCTCGTCGCAGAGCCCCCGACCCTACCAAAGCCCTAAACCCTAAATAAGCCCTAAACCCTGTATAGGCCCCAAACCCTAAACTAAACCCAAGACCCTTTATGAACCCGAAGCCCCCTGGACACCACTTTGAGTTGTGAAGGCTGCTTTGAGCCCTAAGCCCCAAACCCTTCAACCCCTAAACCCCTAAACCCTAAACCCTTAAGCCCTAAACCCCTTAACCCCTTAACCC